GAGAGTGTTTCTGGTGTGATTTATAGGAATGAGAATTTAGTTTTGGTTAGATTTGAGATCAGTTTATTTCAGTACAATGATCAAACCAAGCCAAACATACTCTATACTAGATTTACAGTAGGTTTGGGTTKAAACCAATTCTAGTGCATAAAGCATGTGATAATTGAGGACATCGTTTTGGATCTCACATTTCTAGACCCCAATTATTTAGTTTTGAGTAGTACATCCAAAACTATTTTATGGGTCCTGGTACAACATCAGTTGTTACATCCAAAACTATTTTATGGGAAACATCAGTGGTTATGAATGTAGTGGAAGGAGGCAAAACTTGTGAATGTGAGGGTTGATGTTGGGTTTATCTACATGAAATAACTCATAGGGACGTGACTTGTGAGAATACTAATTTTCTCAATGATAAAAATGTGTATGGAGAACCACAAATCACGGGCTCAAATAGTTCATGTTAGATAGCGTTTAGTTTGATAAAAACAGCGTTTATAATATATACATAATTTTGTTTTTGCTAATTTAAAGAACGTTCGATCAAAGTAAACACACACATGGCATTTTCCAAATTCTTCAAAGACGGAACTGATGGACAAGAATCGAAGTCATATACTCCTTTGTTTTTCCTTCGGGATGGGTGAATCCTTCATATCCATTGTAGGAGATAGCGATCATTTGTGCAATACTCATTGCTGCCTTGAGAACCAAACGTGACACACCAATTGTAGTCAAGAGCTCCTCATTTATTGTCTTATCGGCATCTTCAACCATTATATGAAGCTCCCTAACAGCTTCTTGTTTGGTAACTCCATATTGCTTCATATAACAGTTGACGGCATTTGTGACATATCCCCTACTCATGTCATCCTAATCAATGTTTGTGTAATTTTGTAAGATGTACACATGAGATGAGACACGAAGAAATAAAATATATCAATATTTTTACCTCGAAACCGAATATATCATTCATAAGACGAGCTTTGGTAGATACAGATTTGACAAGTTTTGGTCGAGTTTTTAGCCACTCGTAAGCTTTCTTCGTACCCGTATTTCCCAAACACATGAAAATACCTGCCATCGACGCATACACTGCGACGTCCACCTCACTTACCTCCATATATACTCCTCAAAGCTAGGCACGTGAGCCGCTTGTGCCCATTTTGTAAGATCGAAGTTGGCTTTCACTAGTGTCCTGACCTGCATGCATACCCAAAAGTATAAAACCGCTACGACTACAAAATGTTGTTTTCGCGGTGTGTATACAATATGGT